CCTGTATACTTACGGAAGGGATAAAAGAAGAAGAGGTCACTCTTCCAACATGGACTGACCATTCAACACTGGACACTGGATCCGAGTTACTTACAGGACATCCAGTTCCGAGCCTTAATCGTATTCCTACTTCCTGTGATTTCCCCTTGCTGAAGTCTTTCATTATAACTTCTTTTTTGCCTCGGGTCAGTGTAGCTATGCATTACTGTAACCACACAGGATGTGTTGGTTGTAGACTGTGTTTACTATGCATTGTATTTCTATGGACTGAGATGATGGCATGCATGGGTTAGAAAGAGCGCAGACACACGCAAGGGATTCAGCTTTAACAATAGGTTTTGTTTGGCTGTTTGACTGGTGACATCAGTTGTTCAGTTGAGCGTCTGCAAAGCCTGCTGTTTTGTGCTCAGACAGGAAACCAGCGTCAGTCTGTCCCACACCTCGAAGTCTATCTTTTCCCATACAAATGTGGAACTTCTTTTACCTCTGTCTCGCTTCCTTTTAATCTCTCCTATCCTCTCTATACTTCCTTTCCTTTCTTTTTCTACAATCCCACCCACTTGGACATTTTTATTTATCTTACTGATCATATTTTATTGCTATTGAACCACTTCCCTCCAAACTAAGTCTTCTACTGATTGTCTTTGTGTCAACTCCGTGTGTTTTCTTTGTGGGTGAGACATTTTTAAAAGACCTCTGGGGTCCCTTTTGTCCCACGCACACAGTGAGCTTCCTCTCTCTTTTCCTTTTGAAAATAATTTAGAGGTTGCAAGTAAACTAAACCTAACATTTAAATCTCCCCCTCTCTCATTACAGCGCCTCCACCACCACAAGAGTAGCTGACACCCATCCAGGCTGCTAACGGCTGCACCCCTCTCATGTCTCCTCTTTATGTCAACATGGAGGTGAATAATAACTGGAGCACCGGACTCTGAGCTTTGATCACTGTGTTGATATTAATGACTAACAGTGAATGCATATTAATAGCATGTGGAAGCTTGAAGAATACAGTTTTGTTGGCTCTCTTCCTGTAGAGTTCAAGGCATGCTTTAATCCAGTCCATTATATCAGTCAAAATATTTTCACTAGTTGAACTAGGATCATACATCTTTCATGGAGTTAATGGCGCATGGTACAAGCAGGGTCCAAGCCATATAACTTTAAAAACAACTATAGTATATGAGTTTTCTTTGACCAAGAAAAGAGCCAAGCTGCTGCTTTTTAAAAAGATGAAAAGAATCAGCTTGATGTCAATAAAATATATATTTTTCAAAAGCCAGAGACGTTTGCCATTTTACCATTTCTGCATAGAAAAACAATCTCGTATGTGTCTTATATTTGTCATGCTAAATCATATCCACATAATAAAATGCTAGTTTAGCCGTCAGGGAAGCTAAGCATGCTGATATATTCACAGTGACAATGTTACCATGCTTATGTGTAGCAGGTATAATAAAAACAGCATCTTAATTTAGCATATTAGCATGCAAACATTTCAGAATTAACTTTGACCTGATGATGGCTGGGGATGAAAAGCCAAGTTATCTATCGTTTCACTCTAAGGGGAACAATGAAAAAGATGGTGGACAACCAAAGCTAAGAAAAGCTAAGAGTGACACATTTTGACCTTCTGGTGACACTAGAGGAAAAGTCAGGGGATCACCAAAGAGGCCTTCATCCTATGAATGTCTTTATAAAACATTATGGTAATCTATCCAGTTGCAAAGTGATGACCATCGGCATCCAAAGAGCAGCGCCACTAGCATGGATAAAAACACCTCTCTGGTAGTATACTGCATCCACTTTTATATTTATTTCACTTACTGATACACAGTTTACAGATGAAATGAACAAAAGCAGAAATGCTGGAATGTTGATGAATGCAGAGGTCAGTGGTGGGCAGAGAGAGAGAAAAGAGAGAGGGAGTCAGCAGAGAGGCACAATTCACACACATGGTTCTAGTTATCGGACTCCCATTAAGGACAATGTGGTCTGGAACAAACTTTACATTTCACAGTTTAAGGGCATTTTTAAGACACTTCTGCCCGCCACTGAAAGGTCACTTTCAGTCATTTCATATGGATAATACACACTGTGCAAATGAAATATACATAAGAGAACAACAATGGAAAACTGGAATAGTGACAAATGGAGGTTGATAGTGGTTTGAATTGAAATGTAATATATAGGCAAGAGAACAAAGAATGTCAAAGTCCACAACCACCAGCTTGCTGTAAAAATAGGTTATAAATTTGTGGTAACAGCTAAAAATATCTGTCTTGTATTGTACTTCGTTGGGATTTGTCAAGTGATAGGGCCCCTGGCTGGCAGCCATATTGGAAGTTGTAGCTTTTGTGCTACAACTGCTGATTCAGGGTACAATGACTTTCAAGAGACATGGATAACTTCAGTCTTTTTGTTGGTTGAGACGGACTCTTTCATCACACCAATCCAATAAATTGAACATGTATATCAGCTGTTAGCTAGCTAACCATAGTTGCTACATAGTTTCTCAGAAAGTCATAATGTAATGCTAAAGCAAATACCACATATAAGTTCATTCTTAAATGTTTCACAGAAGAGTCAAATCATTTTACTCAAGTTGCTAAATAGATAAATAGCTGGTTTAGCTAACATTTGACGAAAAGGGGGCAAAACAAGGACTTCAGCAGGCATGCAGCGGTTAGTGAGACTTGTATTTGTGAAGGGCTCCATCTCAGTGGTGGGAAATAACTAAGTACATTTACTCAAGTACTGTACAGTTCTGAAGTACTCTGAGTACTTGCATTTTCTGCTACAGTACTTAAAGGTGACAGCAGTCATTCAAAGCTCTAGTATTTGAAGACCTGGGAGCACAAACACCACCTGTTGTGTTCGCTCGCTCCAAACCACTTTGTTTGTTTCCATAACCCAAAGCATCGGTATTTGACAACCTGGGGATGAGACTCAACAATCAACTATCTTTTTCCAAAATGACGGACCCCACCTTTAATACTTACTGCAACACATTTTAGAGGAAATTATTTTATCCAATGTTGTATCTGCGTAATTATTAGTTAACAAATGAAAGATTTTACATAAGAAACATTTAATAAGCTTATAAAATACATTATAAAGAATATACCAGTGGTTCCCAAAGTTTTTGAAATCTGTCCTCTTGTCATGTTTCAGATGTGAATGAGTTGTTATCTTGTCTACAAATGTGACTTTTCCCCTTTAACTTTGATTTCATTTCAATAACAGTTCGAGGCCTGAAAATGTAAACTTATCCAAAGAACCCAAAAATGTATTCAAGTCCCTAAAAAAGGAATCAGAGCTTTGTTTTTCCTTCCTTTGTCTCCCATGAATCAACCCAGGATCCCTTATATTTATCTGGTGGCCCTTGGAGACCTAGGTTGGAAACCACTGAACTAATCTACCAAAGTGATGCAAAAGTAAAATACTTCTTACACACTGATGCATCAGTAAAAATAACTAATAATGTAATATATAATAATATAACACGCTAAGGAGCTAATCTTCTGTGGAACGAGTACTTCCACTTTGAGATTTTACACTGTGCTGATAATACTCTGTACTATTACTTAAGGAAAATAATTTTATGTGTAATGAGGTACTTTAACATTGTTGTATTGGTGCTTAAGTAAAATATCTTCTACCACTACTCCAATCTTCATGGATAACTCCACGCAAGATAGTGGGAGTCTTGGGGGAAGGGAGGGATCCGGTGCCTTTCTGTCTGGGTTTCAAGTTCACTGTTTAAAAAACTCTCCTTTGCTTTTCCATGCCTGAATCCAGAGGATCATTAAATGGAAAAAGAGGCCTAAGCACTTTCACACTCAGATTCATGGAAAGTGAGAAAGCAAGGAGACCGTATGAAGGTATGCAGGATTACAACTGATATGGCTTCTGGCTCTTATCACATCTCAAACAACAAAATAACTTTCATTCAAAGTAAACTATGACTTACATTAAGTTGAAATAGTCGACACAGATGTTAGTTTGCCCCTGTATGTAGATCAGGTGTCACAGTTGTTTACAGCCTTCTGGTTTTATAGTATGTGCCTTTGTATGTTTGAAGGGTGTTTAGCCTACATGTAACTCCACCCTTGTATGTATGTATATATGTTTGTGTGTGTGTCGCCAACAGCCTGTTAAGTTGATGTTGGCACCAGATGAAAGGGCTCGCATGGTCTCACATACTCGCCTGTGGGGGGAGGTCGGAGGGCTAATAGCTACTTTAATATCAACTCTGTGGAGCTGTGGTCATTGTAAACTGCGGCCTGACACACAAAAACAGACTGAACACAGATGTTGTGAGGCAGACAATGCTGGGAACACACTAGAGGTAAATCACATTTGAAAATGCATTGATTCACATCCAGTAAAAGCGGATGTGTTTCATTTTTTTTGTCTCACCTTCATAAATCTGCTTTCTCTAGATGGGGGTTCCCACAATTCACTGTGTAAATGAATTAACTGGCTGCCTTAAGAAATGTCAAAAGATTTCACAGGGACCAGAATATCACATGACATTTTGTTGCATGACAAGTGTCAGCATCAAGAATAGTGTGTATTTAGGAATTTAAAGGAATGATTTGACATTTTGAGAAATAGCTTAGATGAGAATACCGATATTCATGTCTACATTATGCTAAAGTCCGGAGGCAATTAGCTTAGCTGGGGAAAGTCCCAAGCAGGGGAAAACAGCTAGTCTGGTTTTCTTCATAGTTCAATAATAAACCTATCAACACCTCTAAGGCTCACCAGTTAACACAATAATTAACACATTGCATCTTGTTTGTTTTATACACATACATAAATGGAAAAACAACAATTTGTGGTTTTAAATCGAGTTAAGTGTACATACTTCTGTTTGTGGCAAATAACTGGAAGACATTCATCAAGGAACAGTGACAGCACGTAACTTCCCCTAGCCATCTTAGCCAGCTAGCTAGCTAGAGTCAGGCTAGCTGTTTTCCCCTGCTTTGACTCTTTATGCTAAGCTAAGCTATTCACCTCCTGTTTCTGGGTCCGTACTTAACACACAGACATTAGAGCAATACCAACTATCTATCGCACTTCAACTTGGAACCTGTTTGATATGAACTGGAAGGCTCAGATTAACCTGCAAATTCAAATCTCCAATCTCTTCTACAATTGTTAAACTGTTCCGTGTTTAAACTACACAGGATTCAAACATGGGTGCAAAAGAAAAATTCCTCATGAAATACTCCAGTATACAAAACATTTCCTTTTGCATCTTGGTCTTATAAAAGTAAGTTATATCAAAGAACATATAAAATCATATGTACAATAATTGTGAGACATTACACATTTTGCCCTTCACAAATCATCTTAATACAAAATAATACAGACCATAAATAGACAATACTTTTTACATAAGGCAGGGTTACTAGTGGTGTGTGTGTTTCTCTCATAGCTGCTGCTCCCCAAACAGTATCTGAGCGTACACAGTGCCGCTACATGACGCTTTTGCTTCTGGAATTGGCTTCACCAGATCCAGCTCTGCGTAGGTCAGATTCTCTTCCACTATCTTTGGCTGGAGATGTGGAGAAGAGGGAAACGGCGAGGGAAGTGGTATCAGTGGTTAGAAAGACTTTTATGCCAAACTCCATCATTAATCTTAAGCTTAAGATTTCTTGTCAGTCAAAAAGTATTCTAGCTCCAAAAAGTTAGATGTTTTCCTCTCCCATGTCCTTTCTCTGCTTTACAGCATTGGTTTGGTACATTTGAATAGGCTGTGTGCAGACGTCCCTGTACAGGATTCATGGGTTGAGGTTGCCAAAATTCAATTACCTCTTGCCGCATTTGGTACCATTAAAATGCCAAGTTGCCACAGAGCCACTTCATTCCAGTGACAATTACAGAATTAAACCAAGGTTATGTGGCACATTTTATGACATTTTCTGGTACTTTTGTTTGCAGACATTCCTGTCACGCGTTAGTTGTTTTCCATTGAATTTGGCACAATAGCAATGGTAGGATGTCACGAGGAATGCCTTGCTTGGTCTGGTAGTTTTAGACAAAAGGTACCAATGCATCATAGAAAGGATTTCTCCAAAATTATATATGCCACACATACTGTACATATCAAGGTTACACACAGGTGAAATTATATATTATATATAATATTTGGCAACAATAAGAAATGATGATTAAAGTAAACAATGTATAAAAGGGTATGTATGGTACTCACCAACACTACTTTCCTTGGTTGCGGTTTTAAAAGTTTGGGTTTCCGTGTTTTGTCTCCAATGGGAGCTGCAGGGGCAGAACTAATGTTAGTGGTTTTGCAGAGATCTATTTAGCAAATATAATGTATATATTTATGTGCACAACAAGAACCAGACCTCTTTTTCATAACAAACATGACATGTGCTCCCCTTCACATAGTGTTTACACAGATAGTTCTGATTATAATAGAAAAATGTCTCAAGGCCCTTACTGATTCTAATATTTAAAATTCAATCCCACTTCTAAAGCGGCTGCTCTTATGAGTGGAGTTCTGAATGATACACAAGAATCATTCACCTCTTTGGCTTAAAGCTGTGTTTTTATATGAACAGTCGATAAAATAACTGTGTAATGTGAGTTTGGGTCGCCTTTAGTGATGAACCAACAAAGGATTATCACCCGACCCTGTTGTCCCTCTCAGCTTTACAGCATTATAGCGTCTTTTAGCTCAATGTTTTGATGTTGCTAGCTACAATTTAAAGGAATAGTTTGACATTTTGGGAAACATATTTACTCACTTTCTTCCTGCAAGTTATATGTGATGATTGATGCCACTCTTGTCTAGTCTGTACAGTGTATGACTAGAAACAGTGGAAAACAGCTAGCCTGGCTTTGTCCAACACTAACAACCACCTACCAGCACTGATTAGCATGTTATGTCTTGTTTGTTTTATCTGTACAAAAGCCAAAGTGTAAAAACGACTGTTCGATGCCTGGCAACAGTCAGAATAGTAACCTTCCATAAAACGGCAAATTTAGGTTTTTACACAGGTTTTTGTTCTGATTAAACAAACAAGATAGAACATTTTAATTAGTAAGCTTTTAATGATAAGATTAGTTGCACAAAACAGCAACAAACAGCTAAATATAATCAGCACTAAAACACTTCAAAACCTTCCTTCAGGAGTATTTCCTTGTCAACACAGTTCCCACTCAAATCTTTCAACCGTGAGTTGGGAGGAAATAAAGGGATTTGGGAGCTCTACCACAACATGATGACCGTGAAGACTGTGCTGAAGTTTTTTGCTTTCAGTGAAAGCCCCATCACCCGAAACTTTATGTGTGGAAGGGGTGGATGTTGGCCTCACATACCAGCACATAGTCATGTTTGGAAAGCCAAGTAGAACAAAGTGAACCAAGAGTAAACCTCAGTTTGGACCGATGCTCATTGAAGCTATTTACGTTGTACAGTTGATGAGCTACTTGTGAGTCCTGTCTTTTGTTGACAAGGTGTGGCTCGCTTGTGATTGGACAGTTTGCATTTAAACAAATGTGACAAAACTGTGGTTGTCTCTGGCTTACCTTTTGCTGGTATCTCTGGTGGTATCTCCTCTTGATAGTCTCTGCTCCTTTTCTTCCTGTACCTCCTCTCTTTCTTAGGCAGAGCGGGAGACATACTGACCACACTGGTGACTGTCTCTCCTGAGCTGGATTAAGACAAGATTATGAGAACTTCAGTGCAGTTAAGAACACTTGAGTGTTTGTTAGCTTTTTGTGTGAGGCTTTTTAAATCTTACCTGTTCTGCTGACTTTTGACCAAGTGGTAATTATCTGTAGAGATATAACACATTTAACAAGATATGTAATATCTGGTGTGGAGATTATTGTTCTTGTGTAAGCTCTGAATGACTCTTCAGAGAAAAAAGATGAAGAACATAATGCAGATGGCACAAAAGAGAAAACACAGACATGAGAACTAGATTGATAAAGGTCAAAAGTCAGTGGGGAGTTATCTTGATGTGGCTGCTAACCTTTTAACCTCTGCTTCCTCTGTATGTACTGGCAGGTTACCGTCACCGTGAACATGCACATACACAGCAGACCCACTGAGCAGATCAGCACTGCACACAGGTACACATCTGAAACACAAAAATACACACACACACACACACACACACACACATCAGTCCAACAGTGCATCAGCCTCATGCCTATTGCTTGACTCTACACAAAAATCTGAAGGAAAAAAAGTACATGTTTTTGCTGAGCTATTTAAGGCACTGTACTATATCGTTTGGGTTGGGCTATTTTTGCCTGCCAAGGACGATACAGTGCCAGTCCACCACAAACACACACACTAAAAATATGACGACTTACCTTCAAACAAGCTCCACAGGCTTTCTTTGGCCTTGGTGACCGGTAGGACATGCACTACAAGAAGGAAAGAGAGAAGAGAAGCATGTTAAGTCCACAGTCATCACTGTGGCCTCCCTGCCGCCTGATTACACGCTGGTTAGAGTTTAAATAAAGCTAATTGTAGGAAGACAACGAGCCGAGGTTGGCCTCCTCCCTGCCTGATCCCGTCTCTGAATCACTGTCTCAACGATGAAAAAGCATAAATAACTTACTAACTCAGACATTAATGCAAACAGTTTAGAGTTTAGAGATATTCATCATCACAAACATTTACCTCACACTCCCCAAAGCTCTGGCAGTTACCCTCTCTTTCACCTTCACAACAAACTGTTGTGGTAAACAAAGCAACCCGTCCCCATTTTGGTAATGCAGTGGTTGCATGTCCCACCTCAGACTTGTTTTTTTTTTTATTGTGATATCAACAACATCAAATTGTTCAGATCAGATCAGGTCCAATTGATCTACAGGTATTCAAACATTTTGAATTTAAAATTGGAGTTTCCTTGTTTCACATGGTGGTAAGTAAAATTCATAGCAGTTGCCTGAGACAGTTCTTGTAATTGTTAGATTACTTTTTTGGCTTTTATTTTATAGTGACAGTATAGAGAGACATGGTTAGAGAAAGGTATGACATGCAATGAAGGTCCTTAGCCAGGAATCAAACCGTGTTGCATTTAAGGGGTACACACATTAAGGCTACCCAGGAACAATGGGTCCTTCATTTGGGACAGAGGAAAAATAGACTTCTCATTTTCAACTGGTGACCTTTGATGGCCAGTATAGATGACTGCTGCTGGCTAATTATTAACATTAAACACTAACATTAACCCCCGTAAGTTGGAAGCTCTTTCTATGGTTGACTTTCTAATGTCTTAGCTGGCTCAGATAAAATTAGAACCTTGCAAAAGGTCATAAATATATGCATTTTGGTTCTGTCGGTTCATATCATGATATCTGATAACCAAGTTGTTACGATGCAGAACAGACTTAAGTTAAAACTTGTATCAAAAAAAGTTAGTATCCTCACCAGTTAATGATGATCACTGTATAAGTCCTGGACATAAAATGTAAAGTTAATTAGCCCTAGTGTTATTGTATTATTAGAAAATATGTAATGTCAAACTGCTTGACAGACCTACCATGCCTAATTACGGTTGCTAAGCTTTGACTGGACATGATGGGAAGAATTAAAAGCAGTTAGTTCACACAAACCTTAAAGTGTGCATCATTCACTCAAATGCATGTGACTTAAATTGTCTTTTCAGTGTCAACATATCTTTGCAAGATATGGCTTACTGGTCATCCCAGCACAGACCAGATAACTGTTACACCCCAAAAATTAATGGGGAATAAAGGCAGCCTTAATCTGTGTAATGAGAATCCCAGCTATGTGCTGCTTGTGTTTAAAATGAGTGAGAAAATGTTTCCCATACTCCAAACCTGAAATCTGGCCTCACACACTCACTCATTTCTCCACCCCATCTGACCACAGTAGTCTTAACACCGCTGTACTCTTGCTGAGCTGGTGGTAGGAAGCTTGTGAAGTGACACCCACCGGGTCATCTTGAAATACCCCAAACCACCAGCAGCTGATGACAGGCAGGCCCGCCACGCCGGCTGGATACTTTCCCACAGGCAGACTGGCTGTGCTACATGCTGACTGACTGACTGACTGACTTGCCATAAGCATGCTTCAGAAATTTCCAAAACACATCTACACAGTGGGAGCTATTGCATGCATTGACCCTGCATTTGACAATTTAAACTAGCGTATGGAACCCTAAAACTCTAAGGTATAAAGCAGGGCGCCCGGTTAGCTCAGTGGGTAGAGCTGGCGACCCATGTACAAAGGCTGAGTCCACTCTCTCTCTGCCCCACTTTGCTGTCTACCTTCGGCTGTATCAATTAAAGGCAATAAAAAAAAGTCCCAAAAAATACAAAAAAAAAAGAAGCTATATAGCAACGTAAGTAATCAAAACTGCCCTTGTGATAGCTGACAACAACTTAAAATTGCTTTCACATTAGTTCCTATTGAACACCAAGGACGACTGCCCAATCACAACTTTCATTGGGGAAAACTGAGATTAGATTTACAGCCGGTGCCATAAAGCTGTGTGGAACAGAGTGCGAATTAAACTGCCAAACATCACATAAAGCAGTGGGATGTTTACTGCAAAGCCTGCAGCTCTGAGAAAACTAAGATTAAATCCTAGAAAAGAGTTTCTTCAAAATGCTGCATCATCTTTATACCGCTACAGTCAAACTACTTATTCTGTTATAGGATAACATTTATTAAAACTAAATGTCACTACAAGGCCAGCAATAACAGGGTACCGTTATACAAAAGAAAGACAGACAGCACATATTTCACTGCTTCACAGAGCACTACAATGCCAACTTTTAAAATTAATGCAATAAACAGCAGTGTTACCATTTTGCCCAACCCATATTCAACTGCTTTCTATATTCATATCAACCACATATGGGATGAATTTTACTTCAAAATCCACTAAAATGCTGTGCAAAGTGATTGACATTTCAGGTTGTTTCAATACTTTCCTGAAGACTGTTGGTTGAAAGGCTTTTATCAACAGACTGTTTCTTGAACTTCCCTTCAGATTCGGTCCCCATCTGCGAAACCGCTAACCTTACGCTGACCATATGTGACCTATTTCTGCTGTTTGGAAAAGACTGGCCTTAAAGGACCAGAGTGTAGGATTTAGTGACATCTAGCAGTGAATTTGCAGATTTCAACTAACTGAACGCCACTCGTGGGAATCAGAACGGGCTGTGAAGTGTGTAAGAGAAACTCAAGGCGATCTGCAGCATCTGTAGCTAAACACATCTCATTCTAAGGTTACAAAAACACAACAATTCCTATGTTCAGGTGATTATACACTAATGAACATGGTTTATATTATATTCCATTTCTGCCATTGATCCTCCTAAATGTTACACACAGGACCTTTAATCATTTTAAAGGGAAGATAGACACAAATAAGAGTGGATTATTACGTTTTTTGCAAAATATTTACAGTTTAAAAGGGTTTAGGGTTGTGCTAAAAAGGGCTGTCAAAGGTTCACTTGCCTCCTCAACTTGTTTCTTGGGATTTTCAGACTTTCAAAAATTGCCACCAATCCAAAATATAAAGCAAAACAACATGAACAAAAGTGCCCTAATAATCACAGAGATTTCAATGTAGACATGTCTATTTTTGCTGATCAAGCTACAAACTACAAACTAATTATAAATGACATCATATAGTTTGGAAGCTTGTGAGGCATATCTTATATGATAACACTGATGCTGTAATGTTCCCTTTCCCCATTACGTCATTGTTCATGAAACTCTCAAACCCCCAGTGTACGTTACAGACAATGCTGTTGGTGGTAAAACTACAGCACCTACATCGGTACATGGCACATACACTGTCTCTTTGAAGGCTGCACAATCAATAATAATTTAAATGTACAATATGTAATTTTTGCCACTCAGGAGGTTTTTACCAGAAGCCGAATTAATCACAGAGGTCTCCTCCTCTCCACAGCGAACGGACACAATCATTAAAACAAGTAAAAACACTGGTTCACAAAATCAGTGTCTCTCCGATGCTGTTTGGTGGACAAAGGTCGAGCTCAGCTTGTTTCTCTGATAACTTAAGATCCAGACATTCGATGACATCATCTGGTTAAAATACATAGTTATAATTGACCAAAATCTAAAAAATATCAATAAAATGTGCCTTAAAACTGGATAAAGAGTCAGTTTATGACAGCTTCTGGTAGACAACTACATTGCTGATGCATGCACTAAGAGCATGAAACGCACCGTTACCTGAATAAAATAATTTTTTTCTGGGTTTGTTGAAAACGTTTGGGATAATGTAAGTACACAACAACAAATTACCGTATGTAAGATAGCTCTACCATTTATAGAAATTTCACTGCAGAAATATAGAGCTTTAAAACAGAAATTCTCCCACCAAATGGCAGACCTGCCCTCCCTTCACAGTAAATTATTCACAACGTAAATCTTGATGACATCTATGACGTTTATGTGGTGTTTTTGCCTCAGGTTCTGTGTAGCCCTGTCAGTGTGGCAGCTGTACATGTTGGAATAATCAGACATGAGATAAATCTGTTGTACTGCATGCCATAAAACTGGCTTTTATGCCAATCTAGAAAATGTCTTCTTTTCACAGCGACATTTGAATGGCTGACAACTGCATCGGACTACCGTGGAAACATTCGAACAAACTGCGTTTTGTTCAAAAGAGCCACAGAGTTGCATTCATTTGCAGACTGTATTTCAGTTTTGTGGCTCTTTTTTGTGCCCCAACAAACCCAACACTGTAAACTTCAATACACAGACGTGAACTAGAGTGAATAATGATCCTCTGTGTCTTCACCATCTACTTGGTAAGTCACTGCTCTAATTTACTATATTAGAAAAGACTGGAGACACACAGCAACGTTGTGTGTCTCAACAAAGCTTTGAATAACTAACCCTTTAACTTCCTGTTGTCTCTTTGTATCTTTTCTTCCAAGAATTAGCGTAGTCCTGTGTTCCCATTATGGCAATAGGTCTATTTTGTTGGCTTCTTATTCATACTGTATGTCCCTTTTTTATGTCTATGGAGATGTTTGTGAACCCAGAACTGTGATATTTCTGATTTTTTTTCCCTTTTGAAGCTGTCAATAGAGTTCTGTGTTCACTACACTTAAACCCACGCCACATCCGTGTCCCGCGTACCCCTTGTTAACTTGCAATCGCCCACACGTTATAAAAAATACCTAAGAGTTCACTTTGTTTATGCCAAGAGGAGACTGTCCACACTGTGCACTGCCTTCAGTTTTTCTACCAAACCCTCTGACCTCACTGGTTGTGTTTATTCTAGTAGTAGTGAGCAGAGTAATGGGAGTTTTGTGTGCGAGAGAGATTGTGGAAACACCTGGTCACCTAATGTTATCTGACCACAAGAATTCGACAAAACACACACATTGGTGCACATAAAGTCTCAGTCATCTGCTGGTTCTCATCTGAAGTGGGGACCAGGAGCAATAGTCCCAGCGGGGTTTTAAACTTTCAGATGTGTAGCTGATGTTTATCATAGCTGTCAACTGTTGGTGTGGATACTGGGAAGAAATACCACTGCCTGCTGGTCCCCGGGGCAGAAATAATGAGATTTTCCGGTGTTGTTGGAGCTTTGGCCTGTCCATTACAATTACCCAACTTAGATCCTGGACAGTATATTTCAAAGTGTTTGGTATTAACAACTCACAATTCAAATGGTGATGAAACTGATTAGTTTATCTTAGAGTTAATTTTGGTTTCACTGAATTTTAAAGGCTTAAAGTGGAAAGCCAGCATGACAAACTGGGGGTATGACATTTGTAAGATTTAAGGGTCCAATGGAGGATGGGAAATGTAGCATCCAGCATTTTTGGGGCTAAAGTCACACAAAGAACTTGAAGTCAGAATATCTCAGGCTGTACTGCTTTTGACTATTCTTTTCATAAATCTGTCTCTTTGAACTTTGTGGAAGTACAATATTAATCTGGTAGAGTACCCTTTAAACTGGTTGTCACCTAAATTATACTTCTCCATCTAACTAAACTTATCATCCTTCCAAGAGGACACCATTCAGTGATGTTTATTCTTATATTCCTAACCATTGACAATAAACATTTCCAGATTCAAAACAAAATTCTCCTTTTTCACTATTTTTCTTTTTAATAATATCTGAAAATAATTAGTTTCACTAATTCACCCAGAATTAGTTTTTCATTTGTTTCCAAATCCCCATAAAACAAACCCAGACCTAACTTTAATCAATCTCTATTTATTCAGAGACATTGTCATATGTAACAGAAATTGTATAGGTGTATGGGAAAATACAGCCTTCATTCAAATTTGATGTTAAAAGCAGCAAAGTATAGAACTAAATCAAAATCAATATGTAACCAGTGTAATTGCAAGAGGCTGCAAAGCTATATTTGGAGGTAAACAAGGAATTTATTCTAGTCTTGACCAGAATTGTGCGCTTCCACTTCCTTCTGTCGTGTAATGAAAAATGAATGATGTAGTTTCATTTTCTACACGTATTGCCATTCATGTCATAATTGCAGTATCCATTTAAAAAAATGTCGCAGAGGCTTTTTTTATTAATATCTCTGAAACCAGAATGGCTGGCGCTTCCTTGGATAAAAATAGCTCACCACATCCTTGACCACAAAAGGTTCAGAGCCAGACAGAGCCAGCTGCCCACTCGACTGTCACTGCAGACAAACATTAGAGCTTTACCTTCCTCAGCACAACTATCTCTTGTTCCATTTCTGCTGAGTCTCTCTGGACTCCTGTCTGGTCTACTTTTGGGAGGAAACTCCATGTCAGGTCCAATGTCAACAGCTCTCGGTAGGGACTGCGTGTCTGCCTGGGCCCAGACTTGGCTGTGGACAACCCGAAAGTCACAGCCTGTACAACGCTTCAATGGAAAATGTGGTGAGCAACGTCTAGTGTTGTTGAACACTGACAGCACTACAGCAATGAGATTCAATTAGATGAATTGTCTTTAGATTCTTTAATTAAACTACAGATAAATGCCTCTCCAACTGCTTTCTGCTGACCTTTGATGTAACACTATCATGATTGAATGTACAACCATTTCACAAAGGTTTCTAAATTCTAAAATCAACCATAACTAGGCACGGGAGGTTGATACCTATCTCTACACTATTTATGGTGTCTTTCCAAAAACCAAAAAACCAGGATGGATTAAACTGTGTGTTTATCTGCTCTAACATGAGCTGTGCGTTATTTCCAAGGCAATCATTGACTAATTACATGAAGTTGCACTCCAGCTATCTCAGCCAATGTTACCCCAGATAGTGTTAGGTTAGACCTCATCCTGAAAGCCCTTTCTTGTCGTCATATTGTCAGATGTGTTTTCAAATTGAACTAAAGTATGTAAGGTGAAAAACGAAACTGTGATATGTTATTATGAATTAGAGATGCACTGATTAATTTTTTTTTTTGTTCCAATCTGATTCCGAATTTGGATATGTACCGATATCTGATACCGCTTCATTAAATTGGTAGTACTGTATGATGCAGCGCTGCCACCCTTAGGAATGTTGGCAGGACATAATCTTTAAGCAGGATATCGTGTATGGAACCACTGAGTGCATATTGAGGCCCTTTTACAAGACTCTGATTTGAAAAGAAAGAAAGAAAGTCAGCAGAAGATGCCATTTTCATCTCATTCAGGAAGCTAATGGGGAGAGGGGCAGTCAATTCACAATCTTCAAACAAACAAACAAATGAAAAGTTGGGCGAAAAAAACTGCTTTTTAAGAACGTTTCTGGTTTTGTGAAAGTGAAGGGATTTCTGGGCAATATCTGGTACCAGTCGGATTTGTCATCCATTCCGTTGTGTGAACGTCTCTTGTGCCAGCGGTGGCATTGAAACCTTGCACTCTCTCTGCTCTTTCTCCAAGATCATCTGCTCAGTCAAAGCCGCAACTTATTGCGATGGATAATCCTTTTATCTCCAGACTTGCTCCTAACCAATGACATTTCCCCTCCGCAAATCAAAAGCAGGACAGTGTTTTTGGTCAGTGAATCAACTTCACTGCCTCTTCAGCCAGATGAATTACATCATCCAGTTGTGGTCAGAGAAAATGCTACTACTGGAGACACAAAATTGCTTCCCTAGGACAAATAGTTTATCTGCTATCTTCAATGTACTGCTGTAATGATGTTAATTTAACTGGGGCGCCTCTTTGAGTCTGTAAGCCTTGAATCATCTTCCCGTTTTTTTAAACCGACATTTGGAGACAGAATTATTAACACAACTGCGGTGGCACAAAGAGCTGTTAACGCCCCTTCCCTCTCCTTCAGATCCAGTCATATTTTTGAGGTCTAAATTACTGAGAGAGAGTTTAGCATCTATGCTCTTTTTCCATGCTCATCTTGCTAAAGCCTCAAACAGTTTCATGTGTTCAAAGCTGGGAGCTGCTCAAAAGCAGTCACAGTTTTTCTGCTGCTGGCCCTGGAAGGTCTCTGCAGACAAACCTGGCATCTGTGTAAAACTTTTTGTGGTCTTACTATTATCAAAACAGCATTTGTCATTGCTTCTGTTGTGGTTGCAGAAATAGTTAAGTCTCCACCCTGCACCATCAAAAGCAGTGATGTCATTCTGTGAGAAACTGGGCTACAGCTACTGGTTTCTTCTACCAAGAATAAACTGGAACAGCCTAATGAAGAGGTTCCCCACCTTTTTTGGCTCAATTTTAAGTCTGACAATTTCCACATACAGTAAGATTCATGCATTCCTGAGTATAGCACCCAAAAGGTTTGGAACAAATCAGGAGCAAATTGTTAATTAGCAAATAGCTAATAGCTAAAGCCTGAAGAACTTGGGTCAAATAGTAGATAGATAACAGACAGCTAGAAGTTATGTTAATGAGCCAGTATCTAATGATTAGTTCAGAGTTATTCTGTGAATCTGCACTAACTAATTTTCTAATGAATCAGTCCTGATTAGTGACACATAAGACTTTATTATAAGGTGTTTGTATTTACAAAAGTTTGCTCAAGTAAAGTGGTACATGCAAGTTGTTAATGGCCATTTTAGTCTAGTTTGATTTAGCTCAGGCTTGAATTATTTTTTATATATATTTTGCCTAAATGTGGCTAGATACGCTGTCACACTGATGAGTAGATGTGGTTGGTTTGGAGAACCAATGTCCTGTTCTTCCATTGGTCTATCCAGGATTACTCATTTGGCAAAATACTGTATGAGTGTACTGAGTGTTTGGAACATACTGAACAAATGCGTGGACAGTGGAAAACTGGGTTTCTTTAAAATATTTGATATTTTTGTCTGACATAAAAGCTTGAATGAATAAATGAGTCCAGGCTAACCATGCTCTCTGTGAAGCAGCAAAATGCAAAGAGTTTAAAGCCATCTTTGATGCCTGTGTGTGTGTATGTGTGTTTCGTACTAAAAAGAATGAGTGAAGCAACCTTTAGGAAACCCTATAAGCACTACAAGATGTGTCCACTGTTTCTTGCCTCACATTGACTTCACTGAGGTATTCTTGGCCTTTATCGTCTTATCTGCATCTCGACAAATGTGAAGCAGAGCGCTTGCTTGGCAAATCATTCCAGTGATAAGAAAAAGACAGGATAAAATAACACAATAAATCCAGCCCTCACCTCTGAGCTCAGTAGCGGCGGTGCAGTTCGATGAGGCCTTCCAGCGGTCCTGGTGCTTTTTAAACTCCTGCACCCGGCACATGTAGAGCCCCCGGTCCCCTTCAGACACATTCAAGATCAGCAGGTCAAAGATCTTCCCCTGCTTCACCACCGTCAGCTTCAGTTTGGGCCAAGGGAAACTCTTAGTGTAGTTGCCATAAAAACGGGCCTTCCTCATGTTGACGCGGGCGATGAGGAGTTCGTCCTCTGGCCGGTCTGTGCCTGCTGGCAGGAAGGTCCATTTTACTACTGGCAGAGCAGCGTTGCGGCGCCGCTGGGACACGACACAGGAGAGTGTGATATTTTGACCCTCCTGAGCCACTGTGAAGGGGGAAGGGGTGATGGTGACGTTGACGGCCAAACACAATTCTGGAGAAGAAAGATTTACTTATTTAATTTATTTTAGAGTCTGTATTTGGTGCATTATGTATGTTATGTATTTTGTAGGGATGACTGATTCTCTATTATTTACAATCTGATCACATCCAATCCTTCATAAGCTGAAAAAGATGTCAGGAAGTGGATGCTGGTTATGTCCTAACAAAACACATGTGACTTTGAAGACATGCTCCTATCATGTTTCGGCTGCATGTTAGTTACAGCGACCCTTTGATTATGACAGAGTTGAGGCATCTCTCTAAACACATTCAGCTGTCTTCCTGTCCCTCCATTGTTTTGTCCATGCCGCAGATAGATAGCTGACTACACTGGAAAACAGAATTATGTGAAACTACAGTATACATTTATTTGCTTTGTTTGATTGTTAGTTGTTCTAATGTAAAACTGAGTTAAGAAAAGTTGAACAAATCTTTAGTGACCTTGAGAAACAGAAAGAGTTCGAGTATCTTTTCTAGAAAGTGAGGGAGTTTTACAGTCAGTTCTTCATATGATGCGTTTTTCTGTAATGTTAGCAGCCACAGTATCATTGGGTCATTTTTACAAGAGAAATTACAGAAGAAAAGACATCCCTTTCTTCATTTTGTTCTCCTGTTCAGGTTTAACAACTGTATCATGATAAACTGAGACTATCGACTATATATATATAATTAACACTCCCTGCCAAAAGTAGAGGGAGCAGAAAGAAGAGAAAAAAACTGTTTTCCTATTCTTCAGTCATTGTGGCATTTTTTTTTTAGTCTGGACATGTTTATAGTAAATGGTAAATTCAGATTTACCTGCCTTAGGACGTAGTCTGACAAAGCTTGAGTTCATTTTTGACCTTGAAAACAGCAGTTGGCCAAACAAGTCCCCTTCAAGGTCAGTTTACTTGAGCTTTTGACTGTATCACAGTGTATCTTCAGCGTTAGATGACTTTCCTCAGTTGTTATAAAACTGGAGATGTTAAAACTTGACATTATTTTCATTATCTCAGTTTTGTCAAAATATTTTTCCCAGTTTTGTCAAAATAATTTTCCCAGGGTCTAGAACTCATAAAAAGTGCTCTGTATAATTAATTAATTAATAATAAGTCATAGGTTCAGTCTGCATGCTTTTAGATCAGTGTAACAGTTATTGTCAGATCTGTGTCAAATGGGAGGGGAACAATTTAATTCATATACTCAAAGTGTGAGTGTGTTTATGACAAATTATTGAACAGTTACCAAGAATGCAAGGAAATGTTTATTCTAAACTATTTCCCTAAAATAACAAGTACTTGGGTAAAGGAAGCCCTTTTCATTCCACTTCCAAACGTAAAGTAAAGTTGACTGCAGCTCTAAGGGTTTAAAAATAATTTACAACTGAGTTTTCAGCAGAGCAGCATGAAAATATATCAACGTAACAAATATAGTGAAAATGTGTTCCAGGAACGTAAGCTAGACGTCATGTCTGAAATCCATACAGTCCCCATCTCCTGTGGGTTTGTTGTTGCTCAACGGTCCTCTTTCCTGTCACGCTGACAGCTGCGTTGTTTTTGGCAGCGTGACGACATACGTAGGTGAATATTGAGGAAGAAACTTTATTGCTGCAAGCGTTGCATGACAATATATCACACATCAGTTTTTCCAATCCTGGGCAATTTCATATTGCACACTTTCCGTGACACGCAAGCATTTTACTGTCACACAGCTCAGATGCTTTCAGCTCAGTGCGTAATTAAAATCTGTGGCACTTTTACAGTTTTGTCTATCATTTAGTTTTCAGTGACAGAACAAAACAAAGGAAATATAGTTGAGTGGATGGAAAGTGGTGTTTTTGTGTTGCATGTTGATTTTGAGCTCCCAAACATTTAATAAACTGCTGTGACAGATGAAACTGAAATCAAAGTTAATTAATGTAGAAGTGAGACTGCAAGCTCTGTTTTACTTTCAAACACTCAGGAAAACCACCCATTTTCACTTTGGAATCCCCTCTCATCTCTGCAAACACATGCAACTTTGATAAACTTGTTATTTTCTTGCCAACATACCCTGCAATCTTACTTGGATCTGTATTTATTTCAGCAGAAACTGGACTGGGCAGAGACTGTGTGAAAGAAGTTTTATTTGACAGACCATCTTATCCTCCAAAAAGATTTCTCTTAATCTCCTCAACCATCACCCCAACATCCTCTCTGATTCTGTTTTCTGTGAAGCTTCTCTGAAAAATATTGGGAAACACTTTGTCTCCACCACATCCACTCTGGTATGAAACAAAATAAACTTTTCCTACCTCCAAGCAGTGCTCGAGTCAGGAGAGCGAAGACCACAGAGGAGATCTTCATTTTCCACGGCTGCAGCCTCCATAAACTCCCAGTTAAATGCCTCTGAAGAAAAGAAGCCCCAGGTTTCCTCCTCCTCCTCTTCTTCTTCTACTCTTTTTTTCTCCCCCAGCCGAGGAGTGTAATATGAAACATTGGACGCTCTGTTTCTACTCAGAACCTCCCTCTGCCCCTCCCTCCCCTCCTGTCACACACAGTGAAAACACATTTGGCAGGCTTACGTGCCCCCACACACAAACATATGCACATGCACACAGAGCAGACGGAAACAGACAGGTGAGCATGTGCGAGGACATCGGCACACACACACACACACACACACACCTCTGCTTCTGGCGAGTGAGTGGGAAATGTAATTTCCTGTGCAGGATGGAGGGGAGGGAGGGCTTGTGCTGTTGAGATTGACGCAGAGCAAATCACACTTCCAGCTGTGGAGGACAGCGGGCGCAGACCAAAGTCAGGGCTTTTATTTGGGAACACACACACAGATGCTGACAAAGACGGAGGAGGGCGGGTTGCAGTCTGGGTTTGTGTGTGGGCATCTTTGTTGCCAGTGAAATGATGGAGAAGAACATTTAACATAATTCTGCATTTAAAGTTACTCATTTATCCCAGAGTTTCCTCTAGTGTTAAACCAGCGTGGTTGCTCCCAAAATTACTCCTCAAACACCATATTGGTTAAATTGTTGCATCTGCCTGCGTGTCTACATTAATCTCCCCTCATGTCTTGTCTGGGGTAACAGGATCCCACAGTGAATCTTTGTCAGCTCGGGGTTTTTGGGACACTTTGCTGGCTTTTATCAAACCCCAGAGAGCAGCTCTGTGAAGATCTGGGACACTTTTGATTTACAGATAATGGAAGAGACGGCCTGCAGGGCCTCATAAGTGCTTCTAGCCTGGCGACAGTTTTGACAAACATGGCTGTTCCCTTGACAAAGAAGTCCCCACTTTACCAAAGCTCTAGAACCTTCTGGGATTCATCAAATTAGGGCTCTAAACACAGCGAGTGCTTCTAATGCAGTTTTTTCAGCCTTATTATCAATTCTGCTGACAGATCTTTCCTTAATGTTCAGAAAAAATAAAGCTCTTGTATTCCTTCACTAGCTAGAGTGTACGTCCAATATTCACTATCTTTTAGCTCCACCAACGCCTAAGAAAAATATCTGGCTCTATAGCTGCTAAATTCTGAACTATGTCCACCAGCTAGTTGCAAACTTTGTCTGCCATTTGGTGCTGGACATGTAATGTACAATGGGATTGTTTTTTCTTAAAACAGCTACCTATTACGGCTGGAAACCAGTTTAATGATTGCCAAAACATTAAAGTTGGGGGTCCGTAAAACCAAAACAATGAGCTGAAAGATGCTAAAATGTCCAGTTTAGCTGAGAGAAACTGCAGAATTGGGTAATAAGTCCCTGATTCATCACTACAATACACAGTAATTTGATCCATTGCTAATATAAAGATATTGATTACAGCAATTTTTCTTTCAGGCAGTAAACATGACTTTTACACCTGCAGCTCTGTCTGTGTGAACTGTACAGTACAGTGGAATGATTAATAAATAGAGGAAGTAACAGCTGGAGTCAGTCATTGTATATTTTTCTGTGCAATGTCTTATAACTACAAATAGATTCCGCGCAGGAATAGGGCAGCAGTTGTCCATCGTCAGTGCAGTAAACAGTGAGACTTCGAAATGACTACATCTGTTAGTTATTATTCTGTGTTTGCGTTTAGGGTTACCAGGATATTAGAGACGTTTCTTATATTGGTTCTTCTTCATCCATCTCTGGGCTCGAGGAAGCAGTCTCACAAACTTGGCCGTAGACCCAGACTCCTAATTAGGAGATATAGATCATATGGTACAGAGTTGAAACTGTACAAAAACACTATAGCCTGCACAAAACGTGCTTGCAGTAAGTGGAACAGTGGATGAACAAAATCAGAAGAGAACAACTTGTCTTGTAACACAGCAGACATTTTGACATTGAAAATGTGTTTGTGAAGATTTTTTTTATATTTAAATTAATATATATTTATATTAAACTTTGGTTTCCAAAGGTTGAACCTCAGCTTTTAAGCCAACATGGAAAAGAAGTCCTTTGAGTGCGGGAAATTTAAAATTCTGCAAACTCGCTAGTAAAGACCATGTGAAGTGATTGAAAGTTCCGGAACAGCTACAAAACAAAACTCATCTTGTGCTGTTATATAAAGTGTTTTTACATGAATGAGTTCCTCTGGCTCTCAGATCATCTTCAAAATAAGTTGTTTTGGGTATAAAGTGCCTTTTAGCATTTTAGCAATACATCTATAAAAAGTTACTGAAAAACATTGCCATAATATGATGTGTTGTGCTTGTCTGGGTTGAATTTGGGTACATTTCCTTCTGTACTGTATGTATCCATAAAATCCCTAGTGGAAGTAACATTGAGCCACCCACAGTGCCATGCTAAAGGCAACAAGCTAATTCTCTAAATACAGGAAGACCCTGTAAGTGGAAAAAGTGCTACAAAAAGTAACGAGCTGAGATGAAGGCACAATAATAGAAAGGATTTTTTGATGTCTGATATATAGGACTTGAGAATGTTGTTAATGATCGGAAACATCAGTAATTTTTGTTCAAATCAAAGTACAAAGAATTGGTTTACAAGGCTCCTCTGGTGCTCAGATGTGAAACTGGACTGGTTCGGCTGGGGTTGTTTTTTTCTTGGAGGTAAATACTTCCCCCTTGTGGAAAATGTATGAAACGCATATACTGCAAAGGATTTCTGCTGAGTGGTGTTAAGTAATCTCTGTGCTGTATGTGTGTCAGTAGAACAGTTGGGTTTTCCTCAGGAGCAGTGAGACGAAACACAAATATAACTACATATCCAGGCTCACAAATGGCTGACTTTTCAAATAACACAACTCTCCACAGCCAAATACAATTATTAGAAATGATCTGCAGACATTTATTATGAAAATGATAATGATACATGTTACTGATGAACAATAATGAGGTAAACGAGATCTGTATTTATGTGTGTTCAATAAAATGTGAGGGGACGCCCGGCCGCCTGGTTGACCTTCTACCCAGATGCCACTTTTGCAGGGTTCGCACCATCCTGCAAATCACTCTGCCTGACCTTTAACATCGCATGTCATCGGACACCGCCGCCACGGGATGGTCTGATTGGCTGAGATGGCTCAAAGTGATCAGGTGAGGCTGTGGTTGAAAGTAAATAAAGGTAATAGGAACCTATGGGTTAATCCTTCAAGTAACAAAATACAGGGCAAAATACATTTTTGTTTGAGTCATTACAAAATATTTAGGGTCCATCTTCATGTCTTTCATGATGAAAATATACAAAGAATTATTTTTTTGTTTTGTTTATTTAATAATTATTATGTTAGTATTAGTAACATCTTACCTCTGAATGTGTCTTTGTTCTACCAACTGTAGGGACAAAGAGATTGACATATTAAACCATGATATTTATATTTCATACAAAGCAAGTAATTTTCCAATTGCCTAACTTTCATGTGATTTAGAATTAGATTTGAGAACCAGAAATTCAGATCACACATCTGAGAAGACAAATTTAAGAGGAAGAATTGAGAAATGTAAGTTGTTCAATAGTAAATGGCTGTAATGTGATCACACAGTCCATAACCTCACCTGTGACATTATCGTTGACCTGCTTCCTGATGCTGCAGACCTTCAAAATAATGAATCCAGCCACCAAGAACAGGCCGATCCCAGCTCCGATCAAAACATACTTAATGTCTGGAGGAAAAACAACCAGCATGCAGCCATTAACAAATAAGATGCAACAGAACACGGGTTTGGGAAATGCCAGCTCCTGTTCAACCCTCCTGACACACGTTCGACAGCGAAAGGGGGGAAGAAGAGAAGATGTTTGATTTCACAACTTGTTTACTGTGTGGAAGATTCAGTCATGGTATCATGCTCCTTTCCACAAATTTCATTGCGTAATCAGTGTTTGCAATGTGAATCCTGGGCATCTGGGAATCACTAGTTACTGCTGGTCAGTCTGTGTGCCGACACTCTTAATGAGAGTTTGACTCCTTCAGAAAAACACTGGAAGTCGATTATACAAAGTGCGCCACTGCAGAAGGGCTTCTTAAGAACCATTTTCACTTAAACAAGAGTGATTGGAAAATTCAGTTCAGTCCAGCTGTTGTTTACCACACAACAATGCCACACTGTGACATTATGAAACATTAATAATTCACCCATTTTATTTTAATTAGGACTATCATGTGCTAGAGAAAGCACCTGTAACCATAACAAGCATACAAGAAGAACAATTACACAAGCAAGAACACTTTGAGACGCTTGATTATTTACATGATATCATATTATATTATGTGTATTATCAGTACCCGAATTTGGCCAAAAAGGGGGCCAGTACCTTAATTTGGCACAATAACGACAACATAACCATAAGTGCCCGTTGTACCTAATTCTTCGGGTGTATTTTAGCCAATTTAACTGTTTTCTCAGCATTAATCTAGCTAGTTGTAACTTTTTCCCATCTGTATTCTGCCCATACTCTGCCTGTGATCAGCTCTGACCCTGACATTAACCCTAGTTCTCATGCCTAACCCTAACCAACCAGCTGGTGGGGAAAACAAATCAAGTGTTTGTGGGTGGCCAACAGAAGTTAGGGTACTCATATGGACTGATACTCATTGACACCCCGATTTTGAATAATTCGTAGAAAAAAAAAGTCAAATTATCCAGTTATTTACCAAAAAAGAGCAGATTAGAAGAAAGTGAAAGAGAAAGTGTAACTTTGTGCTTTCCTCTCCTGTAATTTATCTCGTGACCCCTAAAATATATCTTGCAACCCATTGTGGTGGTTCGGCTCCAAAGGTTGGAACAACTCAACATCAATATTCCTTAGGTTTGTCAGACATCACATTGATTAAGAGACCTCAAAACAGGACTGTTCATCTAAATGGCTAGATAATTAAGCTGAAATGACTCTAAAATGTAAAAAGACACAGAATTATACAACAAACACAAAGTAATTTACTGGGCACCATTTAAGTATTGTTGCTGAATGAATCTTTTAACAGGAGCTTCTACAGAAGCTGCCGCTGTATATGGCTCATACACATTGACCAATTGGAAATTACATCAGATCTATCAATCCGACTGTTCTTCAGTGTAAATTGTTGACTCACCTAACCTTTCTTCAGAGTCTGCACCATCTCCTCTCACACTCATCAGCAGAAACTCTGAAACACATTGTTTTCAGTTAATCATTTTCAGGTCACAAACAGGAAGAAGGTAAGACCACAGTGTATCAGATAAGGCCCAGGTCAGTGTGCAGCATCTGCACAATTCAGTGCACAAGAAACAGTTGCACAACACTGAGAAATCATGAAGCGCTCCCACGGACCTCCAGTATTCTTGAGTACTTTTTAAACATTGATGGAGCTCAAGGGCACCTTGGCAGTAGTCATTGTTCCCAGGTTTTTACCACTGGAGATATGAACCAGCCTGTAATGAGCTCTATGGCGGTTAGAGAGGTTAACCTCTGTTCTCTGGCTTTTGCCTCAGATAACATACAGTAAAGATCCCATAGAGGCTTCAAACCAGTTCACACCTTGATTTACAGCAACACATGAAGACGTGTCAGCTTATAGTGAGTGGAAATTCATGGTCAGTAAATGTCACTTTAACAAATAATCTGACATGCTGAATGGGTTTAGATGATTCATGTTTTCTCCTCTGCTTCATCTGTAGGACGATAACTGGAACTTCATAGTCATTCTTGCTGAACTTTTATGGCAATTTAATTTTTTTTTAGAGTGGGATTTCAAGTTCAAGTTCAAGTTTTACTGTAACATATAATGGGTTTTGGTGAAACAGAGCATGCTCAGTAAGTGACTTTCTTACACTTTAAAAAGCACCAGTCACATTCCTCTGGCAGCTCTGGGACCTGGCCTGTTGTTACTGTATCATCTATAGATAAATGCAACTGCTCAAATGCAACTGCTCAGTAGGAAAAGGAAACTGAACAATCTGGTCATTTATTAACCAGCGTATTGTATTTCATTTTATTTATGTGGCAGAAACATTGCTGAAGGTCACAGGAGGTTACAGAGTTGGACCTGTCATGGCTCAGTATATGTGTTATGTATCAGTCTATGGTAATTTAAAAGCATCCTGAGTGTGGGAGAGATAAAGTTTCCAGTGACCAGAGTGCGACCTCTTACATAATGTGTCAAGCAGAGCACAGACAGTCTGAAAGCTCGCTGCAGCTTTATCTCACAGCCCAAGTACAAAACATGTGTTGCAAGAGAGACAATAACAACTTGTACCACAAACATCACATCAACACTGCTGTTCTTTGCTCCAATGCCTTCAACTTGCTGCAATGCAAAAAGTAAATATAATGCATTGATTGGTTGATGTATTGATTATTCAAAGTTGCTCAAAATGAAATAAAATGAATAAATAAAGATTAATATGTATTCATAATTATAGCAGTCCATTAATGTTTCCATCAGTTGTTGATCAGTATAATAACACTTCCATTCGCTTCAGCCAGGACATTTATGAAAAGGTCAAGTTAAAGTCAATACATCCTTTTGGGCTGAAATATGATTTGTTTTAGCAAATGCCTCATTTCGTTATGTAAAATCACTGAATTACCAAGATGTCAGTTCATCAGAAGTTGCTATATTTAACAGCTGGGGAGAAATAACGCAGTTTTACCTTTGGCTTTAGCTCAGGCTAGCCTTCCATCTCACTAGCTAGCTTGTTTTAGCTTCTTGCATGTTAAGTGCAAGTAACAAATAGAGTGTAGTTTGTGAAGTTGTCCACAGAAATTTAACATTTCTATGGAATAAACATTTTTAAAACATAAAACAGATAGTGATAATTATAAATACTGATATTATGAATAACTGTCAAGGTGAGCCTGCTGACATCTAATGATATTTGCCATCATCTTTGTGAACAATCAAAAAGCTCACCGATCATTTATGGACTCTGCTCCTACAGTAACTCTATACAGCAGGCTGCACAGTGTGTGTTGTTATTAAGTCTGTACGAGGTTTCATATTTTTTACTACAACATACAGAAGCCCATTGTACTCACCAGTGATGAGGACTGCCCTAATAACAGCTGACAAACAACCACACGTCTGAAATGCTCTCATCTCTCTTGTTTCTGGACAATTTACTGACTTCCTGTGAGTGCTGTGCGTCTTTCTCATATAATGACGAGCGATTTCCTGAGCTTGTGGGTTTCACAGCTTTGCTGATTTAAAGATTATATCTCTATCTGACTTGTAAGCTACTATAATGCTGTACTATGAGTATTACCAGTAGTATTGCTTGCTGTGTGGTCACTCTTTTCCCAGAAAGAAAACTGTGTTTACATGACTTAAACATCATTAAAAGTGAAAATGTGTTCCAAGAACTTCACAAACTGTTGCAACACGTTTTAACAGGTGTGTCTCTCTTATACATTCATATTTTCAATTATTTAAAAAAATATATATATTTGGGCTTTTATTGTCTTTGATCAATAGAGACAGCTAAAGAGTGCCAGGAAAGGGGGAGAGAGGGGATGACACGCAGCATAGGGCCACAGGTCAGATTCGAACCCTGGGCCACCGCTGCAGGACTCAGCCTTGGTACACAGGGTGCCAGCTCTACCTCACCTGGTGAGCTATACAAGGTGTTTATAGTTGATGCCATTTGTGTATTTATTTATGTATTTTCAGCTTGCATCTCCTGACTGACGAGCAGCATTAAGTGGTTGGAACTGATACTTGTTGACAGATTGCTAAACGCGGGTTACTGATATTGTTGTTTGGGTGGAAAGATTTGTGGGCCAGATGTTGCCACAGCAGACATGGCGTTATTCAGACTGACAATAAAATATCATACGTCAAGGTCTCTGCTCAAACCAGACTCGGGCATTCCATGAAGTTGATTTGGCGGTTGGTTTTCAACCACGTTTAACATCTTGACTTTTTCATGCGATGATGATGTAACTGCATTTGCAGCGCATTAATGCTCTATGATTGGTCAGCCGTCTGCTGTATGAGCCCTCAAGGGTCTCAGTTATTACAGTCCTGTCATCACTCCCTTCACACAAGGCAAATAACGATAAAGTGATGTTGCATTGGAGCTACGGGCTGCAGTCTTGGCTGTCTTCATATTTTATATCTATGAAATCAGAAAAACACATTTCTTCTAGACGGGTCAAAACACATTTACTACCTGTGCATCACTGCTGAAAACAAAATCTGCTTTCTACAGTGACCTATTTGACACTTTCATTTCACCATGCTCAGGAAAGGATAATGAAATGAGTTTATGCTGCCAAGTGAAACAATAATAGAGGTGGTCGATAACACAAAAGATCTACATGACAATGTGATACTGCCCACTAATCAGGATGCATTGACATGAAGAAGAGAATTTTAAATACAAAATGCTTGTGGTAAGTTAGTGTTTTAGTTTTTACAATGTCACTAGATCTTTATATCTTCTGTATATGATCCGCCTCAGCTGTACTTAAGTTACCATACCTGAGTTTACTAGCCTGTCAGTCCTGAAGGCCAGTTACTGCCTCTACCTGTCTGCCCCAGTTCTCAGCGGGCATGAACTAGCATGAGCCAGGCTGCTCGCTAGCTCCTGCGGTTTCACAGCCAACAAGAACACATGTGGGTGTCAGTCATAATGATATAAACAAAGACTGAAGCCTGACCCTGGCGGACTGGACTTCATTCTTGGGTGTCTGTTGTCCAACTAGCCTCTATCTGCTCTCTGCTATCAAAGCAGTTTTTTTCCGTTGCATCATGGGTAATGAGCCAAAAAATTCTGATATGTTGGTCAAAACTTTTATGAATGTGATAGACTATAAAATAGTCTATACTCTACATTGTTTGTAGTCCCTGTGTGTGCAGATGTTTAAACGTTTAGCTTATTACATTAGCATCAAAGCCCAGCCCTCTTGAAAAAGAGATTAAATGGATAAAGGTAGAAAAGATAATACAGGCTGTCCAAATCTTTTTTATCTTCATAACAGTTTATATTGTGTTGTAATGTATTTAATGTGTAGAAATAAAAACAACACATTACAGTTTAACAAGTCAGCAGACAGCTTACAGTTTGGAATTATTTGCTGAGCAGAGATGGCTAGCTTAGCTGTATTCACAGTGAAAAGCTCTAAACAAAACCTGTGTGAATGCAGGCTTACCAACAGCTCGACAGTAGACGTATTCATCTTCTTTTGGTGGAGCCCAGCTTCACCCTTGCGCCAAAATAACACACCATGGATCAGTTTCTCCACTCCTTACAGCAAACCAATGAAACCCCTAATGATTGGCAATGATTATGGAATTATTTAGAGAATTTCAAATTGTAATCTCTTACATTATTCACAAATAATTACAAAACTACAAACTGTTCCCAGCCATCCAGGGCAGCTGTGGCTCAGAGGCAGAGCGGCGTCCCCACAAATCGGAAGGTTGTTGGTTCAAGAAAACACCATACCAACAGTGTCGCAGGTATCCTTAAGCATAGATACTGAACCCAAATTGCTCCTGATCGCATTAAGCATCGGTTTGTGTATGAAAGAGTTAGATTCTGTTCCGATGGACTTTGGCCATCGGCTGTGTGAATGTGGGTTGAAAGGGTGAATGGCAATAGTGTAAAAGCGCTTTGAGTGGTCGGAAGACTAGAAAGGCGCTATACAAGTACAGGTCCATTTACCATCTTTCAAGCTGATTTTGGTCTGAATTTAGCAACTCCCATTACGGCATGGGATAGCGTTTTGGCTATGACATAGGGAATAACTGGGTCGCTGGCAGAAGCACTGGGTCTAATTTGCTATCGGAGGGTTGGAGGCAAACAGAGAAAGGTGAGAAATATGCTAGAGGAGGAGGTTTGGTGCGAGAGGGGAAGGAGGGAGCAGGCCCTTGTGAGGCCTTATTCTGGGCACGACATGACTGCAGACAGTAAAAGGGAAATGCTGTCACATACAGTCTCTATCTCACAGCTTGCTATTCTCACACTGCTCAGCAAGTCTATCACCCCAAAACAAGGCAGGGACTTTTCCCAGTTTAAAATGAACATGTCACATTATCTGCAAGTGCAATACGTATATGCTTTGCAATACAAAAAACTCATCAAATATGATTTGTATAATATTTATATCCACTGCATTTCAAGGGAGACTTGGACTAGGATTCATGTACTCTTACATTGTGTATGCTCAGTATTTGTGCATCCAACATAAATTTGTGTAATATTAAGACCATTTTTGCATGTGTTGCTGCCTAAGTTCAGTCAACTAACACGTAGAGGGTTAGTGATTAGCTGAAGTGTGGAAGTTGGCAGAGAGGCATGCTGTTACCTTATGAAATACAACGTGACAGAAATAGACTGGCTTAAATATGGCACCTTGATGGAGCCCTGTGGATGCTGGGGTCATGGATTCATGGAGTTGTTGTTGGAGCCAAGGAAGGCTCAACTGATTTTTTCAGAAATCCTCTTCTGGCCTATACTCTTGAAACAGAATCACCAGATGAAGGTGATACTGTTGCCGTATGAACATGCTAGCAAAAATGTAAATAAAAAGCAGAACAGCAAATCTTAACACTAAGTGTAAATGCATTGGCAGTATGCATATTGTTCTCTTGTGACATAAAACTAAACTGAGCCACACAGTATTTCTTAAACACCTCACTTTCTCCATTTAGGGAATGCACAGGGTCAACCTTCACATGTGACCTTATCCATTGACTTCCTCTGACTCACAAAGGGTAACAAGTCAACAAAATGCCCCCTCCATTTCAGCTTAATCGCACGGCAACAACAGCTGCATTGGTCCTAAAACTAGACTATCCGTTCACACACAGTCATGTCCACAACATGGCCTTGTAAACACAGCTTGAAAAACAAGAATTAGCCCATCCCCACCATACTCATATCAGTCAGCAGACATATGCCTCTAGATACCAATCAATCTCCACTTCAGGGACTGTCATGGTAATTTGGAGTCATGTGATGCAATGGACTGTATCAGAAAACTTGTTTTCCCTCTGTGACGAGGCAAAATTAGTAAAGAAATAAAAATAGAATACTAGCCAATGGTGTTGGCAACCAGGTAAGTACACCTGACACCTCTGCATTGTCTCCACCAATACCCAAATGATTGATACCTCTTCTTCACTGACATGAAGGCCCTGTCATCTTTTTAAAGGTGCCTAACAGTAAAGAGAAGGTCCTTAAGGGAGCCTATCAGCCCTCACTGCTTAGTTACAAAAATAACCAATGACAGTGTCCATTTCATCCTCCTGGCCTGTCTTGCCCTGCCACTCGACACCCACTGTTTTTTCCAATGTGAGCTAGCTAGCTGCGTTCTGTGTTGCTGCTCAGTTTGGCCACACCGACTTGTGCATCTATTTTGGTATTTTCTGAGCTCGCTATCAGGACCCTGGCCGCACCAGTGCATTTGAACATGGATCTGAGGGCTTGACTCACTTTGGTGAGTTTCCTTTGTTTCTTCAACTTCAAGAGAAAAAGTTGGTTTACCATGAATGACAACGGCTAACGATAATTAATTTTTTTAGCAGGTGATTCTGCACTGGATTCTTGGATTCTACATTGAGGATTTGTGTTTTTGATACCACTGTCTAGACTGAACGGTTACACACAGCATGAAAGACCCATCACACAGGTGAGGGAGCAGTGTGATTATATGGATGTTTACAAAGACATGAAAAATACTAAAGGGCCAGCGGACAAAATATAAGAGTTTTTGATTCGGGCTAAACATTACCGTCCAAAAAGACCTACAGCACAAGGGCCCCTCAGAATGTCTGCATACATTGCTATATAATCATTTTACATTTGTATTGTCATAAAATTCTCACTGATCAATGTATGAGGGAATTATAAAATGATATTCCAATGCTTGTGCCTTTATACAGTATAGTTAACTGGGCTACCTCATTCCATGGGTATAAATACACAAGCAGATGCTGGGAAAGTACCGTGGTTGCTAACTGATCTCTGGTTATGAGAGCTGGAAGACTGTTGGCAACCAAAGTCTCCTGGAATGCCAAAACATTCTGTAAGTCAGACTCAAGATACAGTAAAGTCACTTAGTGACAGTCTTATAATAATTAACATAAACATGAGTCTTGTGACAACTGAGATTGCTTTCAAACTATACAGTTTTAATATACAGACACAATCTAACATATCATTGAATTATTGAAAGTTATATTTGTCTCAATCAATCTCATCTGCTTATAAGGAGAGTCGTGGTTTTGTGGATAGTTAAAGAGTTGAGTTATCTGCCAGTGGCTATGCTCCCAGGTCAGGACATATAAATGGGTTAATGAGCTATTCTAAGACCTCACCCAGATAGCTAAAGTAAGCTACAGTAGAGCAGCTGCTGCTGAGGCGCTCTGTGACTGATGTGATGATTTACTTGCGTTTCCTGCACTTTGTGGTGTAAACCTGCTGGAACGAATATTGTTGTAGAGCTTTGCATGGGAATCATCTATGTATTAACCAAACAAATTCATTAAAGGTGAACAATAAGATGATTGCATTTGAAAGGGACCAATGTGAAGCATTGGTCCTACCTTGAAATGCATACACATGAACACTGGAAATGTTTATCTGTTCTAACAATGTTCCTATAAATGGACTAGGAGCTGTTCTTATAGCCACTAACAGTATGCTTAGTGATCACAGCATAAGACACCATTCAGTGCTTAAAATAGCCAAGCACATGGTATGAAGTGTTTGTCTGCTGCCTGCATAGTGACAGCATGGCTGAAGCCGACACATGTCGTGTACATAAAGGTCATCAAAGCAACTACACAGTTCACAACCTTTTATAGTAATCATATGCTAAAATGATAACTGTTTACCATTTGTGACTAAGTATAATGGTATTAAACCAAAATCTTTAAACACTGACTGATTTCAGTTTTGTTCTGTTTTTAGGAAGTTTACATATCCCACCACTTCCCAAATGTCCATCTGAGCTGGAAGACAACCAAAGGATCTGCAGAGTGGCAGCAGTTGTAGAGGAGGCAAAGCAGGTGATGCGCGAAACAGAAGGAAAATTGGTGACATCATGAGCTGTGTGGAAAAGCGACACATGAGCCATCGGGTGGGGAGCATGCTCCACCATCGCTTTCCCAATGGCTTCACCGACTTGTTCATGGACGAGACTGACCGCGAGGTCAGCACTCTCACCGATCGAGCCTTCCGAAGTCTCTGCGTTGGAGATGACGCAGTTTATAATGACGAATTGTTGTATGGATACTCACCTTTCAGCTGCCATAAACCTTTGGTGGGGGAGCCTCTTAAAAAGACTCATAATAAGGAATCTAAAAAGCAAGGGCAAAACAAAAATGACAAAAATTATGCCCAGCCATGGAAACAGCAGCATCAGAAAAATATATCCCACATGTCGTCTTTCCTCAAGGCATTAAGTGCCACAGAGGAAAGCTGTGAGGGGATGTTCATCAAAAATGGAGGTATGACAGACTCTAAGGGGGAATCATGGGATAAGTCTGCACTTCGCAGCATCCAAAGAGAGCTCTCGGAATTTTCCTCGGATTATCACACCAATCTCACAGAGGGACATTACAAGAATCATCATCGACATCACTCTGGTGATGGTTCATCAAACAAAACAGGCAAAGATGTTGCCCTTCCATCAGGGAAATCCTCAAAGATCAAAAATGGGAAATCCACTGTCAAACTAAGGAAACTTAACATCAAAAACTTTTTTCTCCACAGTGAGTTTAGCCCTTTCCAGTTGTGGAGAGATTTGAATCAGTTCCCCTTTGGCCAAGAGGACACAGTTCTCCCAACAGATAATATACCTAAATGGTACGACTTGCCTTTTTACAAGGAGTTGACAGAGGCACACAGAAAAGAGATTCTGCATACAGAGGAGGCACAGTCATGCCAGAAACTGGCAGTTAGGCCCCCTCCTCCCACTGCTCCTAAACCCATCCCTCCCCCTCCTCCACCAAAGGTCCTGCCAAAGCCCTCAGCTACTCCAGCTGAGAAGAGGTGCTCTTCAGATGGAGGGGATGGGAGTGCTGCCCCCTGGAGGCGCAACAGGTCCAGGGCAAAAAGTGTGATTCCAGTCAACCAGCCTGGTATACCACCTCAGGAAAACAGTTCAAAAACAGTGGATGAAAGTATGTTTTTGATTAAAAAGGAACCTAGATCTGTGGAGGTAAAAGCAGTTGAGGAAGTCAGCTCTTTGGCATCTACTCCGTTCAGCATCTGCCAGCTGATGACTCCTCTCATTCCCTCCAGACAACCGACAGAAACATCAGAAATCCTCCAAGGTGTCCTTTCGCCCTCTGCCCTTGACCTTCCAATAAGACCACACTCTGAGGCCAAACTGACCCCTGAACCTCCAGTCAAACGGGACAGCTACAAATCACTCGCCTCTAGCATCCTCTTTAATCTGAAAGACAACAGAAAACGG